TGAATGAGTTATAAATAATAAATACATGATTAAATATTCTTCATTTTGTTTTTCTTTATTCTCAATTCTTCCAGAGACATATACGGCATGGGCACGGTATCTCGGATTCTTCATAATTATGTATACTCAATCATTCTCTATGATCCTTTATTTTATATTTTTGCTTTTTAACTATCTATTTTTTTTGTCCTTATTTAAATCCCCATTCTTGATTCCAGACTAACTCTCATATTATTATACGTAAATGTACGAAAGCTTTGTACGTCGAAAACGAAAACCCGGTAATCTTTTCACCGTTGCCGTTTTTTATACTATAACGCAAAATCCATGGACGCTCGTCTGCTGCTGAATCCAATGTTTTACTGTTTTAAAGAATGGACAGAGATAGTCAGATAGATGATACGAAGCACTTTAATTTTTCAAACTGATGGGCCAAAAAGTTATTATGAACAGATATATTGAAATGGGTTCCTTGTCGATTAACTGGAAGAAACCGGGGAATGAAACATAGAAAGTCAACGCAACGAAAGTGTTTCGTTATGGATTACGTACTCACTTTTTTGTACTTGGAAAGCACAACGAAAGGTAAATATAATCATGCACATTTTTAGGAAGATGTTAGAGCTATACATTTCACGCAAAACTATTTGACTTTAATTTATCCATGTCATGCATGTAAACCCGAAAATTAGTCAAAGATTGGCAAGAACGGAACCAAGTCATCTCGCCCCACTGCCAATGGCAAAACGCCCCATTTTTATAAAAAAATATGTTAAAGGTCACAGACCATACATTTTGTCTTTTTCTTTTTGTGAATTATCTAAAAAGTAAACATGTGATTTAATCTGTAAATGTTATTACATTAAATATCAGTAGACCAAAATAATCTAGACTGCTCGAAGCAAAAAATCATAAAATTTCTAAACTTCGCATGTAAAAAGTCCTAAAAACTGTAAACTTTCCATGTAAAACTGTAATCTTTCCATGTAAAAAGTCCTAAAAACTGTAAACTTTCCATGTAAAACTGTAATCTTTCCATGTAAAAAGTCATAAAAACTTACAAGTTCCTAATGTAAATAGTATATAAAATTTTGTTGTGTTATGATTGTTAGTTTATTTTTCGTTTATTTTTTGGTGGTGGAACTGTTCGACATACGAAAGTATGGTTACCCTATAAAGGGTGTAAAGATCCAGAGAAGAAGAAGTTAAGGGAGCTACCATTTGATTTTTATGGAGGGAGGGGGGCTTGGATGAAATTTGAAAAAATGCAGAACAGGAGTTTTGAGTAAAAAAAAAAAGCCAGGACCGAAAAGAGTGAAAAATAAACTGGCAGATAGGACAGATATTTCAACTAAAAAAATGCAGGAAAACATTTTCATCTTAGCACACCCCCTCCCCCACCCCTTAAAAATCAAGTGGTATCTTACTTACCAACTTGCCTCACTTAGTTAAGAAAAGCCAAAGGATTGAATCACGTTAAATATACTCCTGCCAACAGTGGCAACTCGCCTACATTTGTAACTTGGGTAAAATCCAAATGAATATAATAATATATATCATAAAGGTCTGACTACTTAAATGAAAACTTGTCTACCCAGAATACAAAAAAAAAATGAATTTTGATATATGATATTTATTGAATCTAAATGATTTTCACTTCTCAAAATATAATTGTAGATTCATTATTTATTATTATTTAATTTATGTATTTATTGGAGAATAACTTTATTCTTGCAAGCTTAGTTATTTGCAAAATAATTGCAAAGAAACCTGTTAATTGTATCATAATCTATTTGATGTTTTTTTAGCCGACTCGAAATAATGCTGTTAGGGTCCCTTGTTGTACTTAGGAAGTGAACCCCTCAAGAAGATGAAAGGTCTACTTTACATGAATGTAATGTAAATATAAAAATAAGAAAATGTGGTATGATTACCAATGAGAAAAGAGAGGGTAAAAGTGAAAATTCACCTGATTTCCAATCCTAAAACTGTCATACTGTAATGTTTAAATTAATACCTATTATTATCTTCAAAATAATATATTGTTTACACTAATGAGAAAAGACAACTCTCCATCAGAGATCAAATAACATGGAAGTAAACAACTATAGGTCATCGTACATCCTTCAACAATGAGAAAAGCCCATACTATATAGTCAGCTATAAAACACCCCAAATGAAAAGCACAAATTTGTAAACAATTCAAACAAGAAAACTAACAGACTGATTTATATACAAAACAAAGAACAAAAAAAAATGTGATACACAGCATAAGCAACAAATGACAAACTGAACCACTGAATTTACAGGCTCCTGACATGGGATAAGACTAAGTACTTTCAGTTACTAACACCTAGTTCAAAGCCAATAACAAGGTACATGTATTTACCACCAAACCTTGTCTGGTTTAGTCCCTTTCTCAGATACTGCCTTATATAAAATAATCCAACTTTTGGTGTAATTTAAACATCTTTGAATAATTTCAAATTTCAAATTATCATGATTATTAAAATAACTTGTACTACATTTGTACTAGTAATGCCGAAAGATTGGCATAATAAATCATGACAGATTCAGAGATCCTATAATATATAGTCACTTTTGTTCATCCCTTCATTCAAGGGTCATATGGATTTAATATGATGGATTAGCACATTAAAATGATTAAATCATGTAAATACTTTTTTATGGTCATTTTTTTTTCAGGGAAAGTTTGTTGATCTAGTTTTAAAAGATCAAGCCAAGCCAATTTTGCCAGATCAAAATATTGAAGGCAATTTTGGCAGATATTATAACTTCATTTTATTATTCAAACATTATTTCTTTTAGCATTTACAACAAAAGTACAAGTATTTTGAGGAGTAGGGGGAGCTAAGCAACAGAACATAGTTCATTTGAGGCATTGCTTTCTAGATTATATAGTGGATTCATAGATTGTCATATTGATTTATGTGCATATGAGGAGCAGCAGTCAATCAATAATTTTTTGATGAGAGGTATGTAATGAAAATGATAACTTTGTTTGAATAATTTTTTCTTGTCAGACTATGTACATATAGTTTCGAAGATTTTTTTTAGAGTTTGAGGTCATAGAGTTTAAAGTTTGATTCTTTTTGTGGGCAAGTTCGAATCCATGTTAGAAGTGACACATTATTTTTTTTTACAGGTCAGTTTATAGAAAATTGCATTCAAAGCTCTCTTAATGGCTACATTGCTTGTTCTTTTTTGTCTTGCCACATTGTGACAACAGTTATGAAGGTGTGGCTTAGGCATTCTGTTTTTAGCAGAGGCAAAGTCGTAAAAAAATTTGTTTATATTCGTGATGAGATCAGTTTAAGGAAACCAAGAAATAACGTATGATACATTGTAATTATATATATGAAGTCAATAATATTTGGTGTGCAGTTGTAGTAGGATTTGCACTTCTCATTTCCATGGAGATTATTTGGTTCCAATCCCTCAGTCATGGTTGATTGACTTTAATACTTTTACTTTACTTAAATGTTGAAAGTTTCTGACTAGGTCAGTTTGAGTGAACCAATAATGACAAGTCATTGATATTTGGTATGTAGTTGTGTGATAGGGTCATTTATATATCGAAATTATTTATTTGCAATGTACATATATTTCATTATTTATTATTTTCCATGTCCAGATAATTGTAGTTTAAAATATATGTAGTATTGATTTATTACGAAAGTATGGACATAAACAGTAGATTAATATAGGTGATCAATACTTTATATACATGTTTTTATTATTGTGATGTCATATCGACTGTTTAGTTGTGATGTGAGTCTTGTGATGTCATTTCATATATCTGTGTGATGTAGATCTGGTACAGGAGTTTCATTGGACAATTATGTCACAAGGGATTTGATTAACGCATGATTCTCATGCATAAAATTATTCCATGTAATTCGCACGTAGCTCTATACGCATATTTTACATGCGGGAATCATGCGTAAATTTACGCACCATTATCGGATGTAGCTCGATTTGGGCGTTTTCCGTGCGAAAAAATCGCATGATATACGCATGATTTTCGCACGATTATCATGCGTGGCACATTTACTAGTGTAGATATCGGACTTTGATTTAATAGAATTAACTTAGACTTTCGCAATCTTGTAAATACCGCGTTTATAGACACATCTTAGATATATGAAATTGTAATACAACGAAAAATCATTTTCAACAACCGATAAAGAATATATCATACGTCAAATAAAACCTGTAAAACACTTTTTTTTCCTGAATCCCTGCTTATCATAAACTCCCATGCCTACTCTTACACATAATATGATCTTGTCTAGCATTGTTAAATCCCAGACATTTATAGGTATGCATTGTTAAAGTTTAAAATATGTCCCTTGCAGTCTATGAAACATATTTTCTGTAATTATTCAGTTAGCTTACATTCGTACCCACCCGATTTCTATCTACCAATTATCAATCAAACATTATATATATAATTTTTGTAATTTTTAAATATATGAGTTTTTTTTGCCAATTTGAACCGAAGGAGATAGTGCTACTTTAAATTTCAAATAATAAATCAAATCATACTCAGTTTTTGTTTGTCATCAGTACCTTAATATATTCATTCTTGATCACTACACGTGCTTTGAACATCGGTAAACTTTATTTTATTTAGTACCTTTTAAACACTAAAACAATTATAAAATAAAATTGATATGAAATCATTGTTTGAATACAACGCTTTAATATTATGTTGTTTTAATAGCAAACATATCAACGTCTGTTTATTTTATTACCTACAGTTTAGGTAAATTGTAACTATAGCCTTACATTATAATCGATTTAAATACATTTCATTTGTCAATCTGATTGCAAAGTAATCTTAAAGTGAAAACAGTTTCAAAGTGCATTCATTTGAAGAATAATTACCTCGGATGGGCAGGCAGCATTCAGTTGAAGATTGAATTTGTATTGGAAATCCGTTAGTAATTAACTTCCGAAGTTTTCTTCTTCTTAATATGTCTGATGAAATTCATTTAAACGTTGGAGGTACTCTATTTGTAACAAAATGGTCAACATTACAAAGACATGGCGATACTTTATTGGGATCCCTAACAACGACATCAGATTATTACAATAATGATAAAAACCAGTTTTTCTTTGACAGAAATCCAGACTTGTTCAACACCATTCTAGATTTTTACAGAAATGGAATCATTCATTTTCCTACCCATATTTGTGGGTGGAATTGGAAACAGGAACTTGAATTCTGGAGAATTCCCATTACAAACATATCCGAATGTTGTTACCCAACATACATCAAATACGAAAAAGATCAGAATCTTGTAAATTATATAAAAAATGCTTTTATCGTGCGTACTGCAGAATATCAAACACATAAAGTATCATGTTTAGCAGGTATCAAACAAAGAATTTGGCTCTTCCTGGAAGAACCGACATCTTCGATTGCAGCAAAGGTGAGTAATTTAAAAAAAAAAATGGGGGGGGGGGGGGGGGGGGGGGTAAATAATTATTGTAGTAAAAATTCTGTACAAACGTATTTTGTTACACTGCAGATTACATTGTAGGATGGTATTCCAATTTTTGTTTTGTTACCTTCATTTGCCATCTTAATCGATTTATTAGATTTGAACATCGATAACTTACTGTTGCCATAATGTATAGATTGATTTCGGCATTAATATCGAGTTGTCACTGAACACGTATAGTTAGACGCACAGAGCTAAACAAAAAACATTATTTTCTGATAATAAGTCATTGTAGGCTTAACCAACCTTGTGGCAAAAATAAAATGAAATAATTTTTAGTAATATATAAGAGTTAAGAGATGTGGTATGATTTTCAATGAGCCAACTATCCACCATAATTCAAATGAAGTGGATGTAAGCAATCATAGGCAACCGTATGACCTTAAGAAATGATAAAAAAAAAACTTACAGTATAGTCGGCTATAAAAGTCCCCGAAATGAAAAATCTGAAATAATTAAAACGAGAAAACTAACGGTCTGTTTCATAACAAAACAATTTACGAAAAACAAATATGACAGACATGAACCAACCACTGGAATACAGGTTCCTGACATGTTCATGGCGTCTTTACACTGTGTACTGATTGATACTTTAGTCTGATGAGTACATTATCTATTTACTATTTGGAACTGACTTTGAACTAGCTTTCAGTAACTGCGAATGCCAAATCAGTCTAAATAGGACTCAAATTCATTTGATTGTATAAAGTATTTGTAACAAAATAAGAAACAAAAGGAAACTAAAGAAATAAAAAGGAACAATTAAACGCAAGATTTCGTTAATCCGTTTATTTTAGTTTTCCCAAAATGTTACTTCAATCATCTATTGTATATAAATAAATATACTTTCTGATGATGTTATTTGATACAATTAAGATGAATATAAGTAAAAGAAAAACATAGAGTGTTAAATGAAGGTTTGATAATCAGTAGCTGTCAAAGAGAAGGCGAAGGATACCAAGGGAAAATTCAAACTCATACGTCGAAAATGAACCGACAACGCCATGTCTAGAAAAGAAAAAAGACAAACAGACAAACAACAGGTCACAAAACAAAATAGAAAACCAAAAAGTGAGCTACACGAACCCCGTCCAAAATGGGGTGATCTCAGGTGATCCGTTAGAGTAAGCAGATCCTGCTCCATAGGTTCAAATTCATATTACCGATTTGACTCAAACTCTCATATTTGATTTTTGAAAATTACAAAAAGTCCAAACGAAACAGTAAACAATGCATTGACTTTAGACCAAACGCCATTTTATAAACCTAAGTGATGGTCTGTGAAGAATTTCAATAGTCATATTACCCGATATTAACATACACATTAATATATAGAGACAGACATGCACGTGCAAACATATGATGAAGATGTTTCTAGGTCTTTTTTACTTCATCATGTTCGTATCATAGATTTTAGAAATGTGAATATCATCGTTTACCTATATGAGAATGATTTTTGTGGACCCAATCAATCAACAAAATCGTTCTTCCTTGTGGTGCCCTTGCTTTACTTTTCAATGTTGACATTCTTTTCTTTTCAATTACTGAACATGCTACGTTCGTGCGCAACCTATTTCCAGCTCAGGGTTAAATTGTAAGCCGCGTAAATACGAATTCAAATGAGGTTTTATTATTAACGTCAAGCAAATAATACATAAATGTTGTTTTAGAACTTATTTGGACAAACTTGAACCTAACGGACTGCTAAAAGTGAAACATTGTTTCGATATTGCAATTTTATAAATGTTTGAAACAGAATAAATCCTATTTTTATTTGGTTTCTAAAATGTAACTTATGCCCCTTTAACGTTATGCGTGATATATAAACTCATTATCGATACATGGGGCTATTAAATGAATGAAACATTTGAAATATTATTCGTAGTAAGATAAAGCTGACATGGTATGCTTCTTCAAAACTCTTTAAATTTTATAAATTACGAATTACTTGAACACAATATTCTTAAATTACTACGATAAGTGTTTTAAATTATTCAACGGAAAAACCATATCAGATTATTCCTGTGATATTGGCATTGATGTTTAATACATTTTAATTTTTTTACCCCGGGCGATTGTAGTGAATCATTTTTGAAAAACCGTACCGTAAATATACCAGTATTTAAAAATTAAAAGATCATAAAAAGAGCAACAATCTCTTTGAACTTATCAAGTTGAGTAAGTTATCTGCACAATTAATATCATTTTAGAATCTCCTGTGTAACTACTTGATCATCTGATCATTAAAAGTCTGGTATCTTTGATATATTTTTCTTTACATACGTATTCACATTTTATATAATGTAATATGTAGACCGTAGTAGTATTACTCGGTACCATTGTCTGTTCATGAGTGATAATGAAATATATAATATTATAAATGAAAACATGAGGAAGTACTAGTGGTTGAGGCTATATATTCAATATTTGCATAGATGTATCCAAGTTTAACATTGCCCAAATCAAATTTATATGATATATTAGAAGTTTAAAAAAACTGGAGATGTAATAATTATATTTTCAATGGACATTGGAAAAGAAAATTTCTTGATTTCATTATCATTAAATAAAACTAATTAACAAAGGTAAATCAGGAAACCTGAAAGCTTTTTTTAAATGCCACAGTTAACAATTTATAATCATGAAACAATACTGATCAACTCTTCTTTAATCTATATTGATTTCGACCAAGAATGAGTAACAAATATCTGGAATCTTGAAACATTGTTTTTATGCAAAAGCACAACTTAAAAGGTAAATGTTCGTTTGTCAGAATCAAATTTTTAAATCGTTTGCTCGATGAATGATAGTCCAGTGGTCAATGACATTGCTATACAGTCCATAAATCAAGTTAGCTGCACCCATATATCAGGAAGGTATAACTATACGGTATATGCCTGAACCACTTTTAAATTCGTCCGTCGTCCATCATCAAAATGTTGGAAAATCGCTATATATTTCTACATGTCCAACTTATAAAATCATAGCACGAAGTGAAGTTGTAAACGTAAAGTTCATATCTTATTTTTCAGATATTTAGCATCTTCTACCTGTTAATAGTACTGTTGTCTGCAATAACACCGATGCTGGCTACACATCCAGATGTGCGACAGAAAGTTGTAGATATCGATATATTGATTTACTGGGTTAACTTGAATGGACTAAATCTATGGATAGACAAAGAAAATCCAAAGGAAGTCATGTTTGTAACAACAGTACCCCCTAAATGGCTAAAGGATTTGGAACTCTTCATAACGATTTTCTTTTCTTGTGAACAAATATTAAGATTTGCCTCCTGTCCAAGAAAGAAGGAGTTCTTCAAAGACTGGTTGAATTTTCTTGATGTAGTATTATTCTTTGCTATGTGGACTATTTTCATTATTGAACAATCGTTTGCCGAAAAGTTACTTGAAAATTTAGATCTGTTGATATTCTATTCTGTGTGTTATTGTCTCGTTGTTTTCCGACTTCTTAGATTCTTTAGGATCACGAAACAGTACAGTGCGCTTAGAATCTTATTGATGTCTGTGAGAGCTAGTATAAAAGAACTGGGTTTACTGAGTATTACATTTCTTATTTTTGTATTATTGTTTGCTAACCTCATATATTTCGCCGAATTACGGGATCCAACGACCTTTTCAGATATGGTTATTGGTCTTTGGTGGTCCGTCGTAACTATGACTACAGTTGGATATGGTGATGAGGTACCTAAGTCTGCCCTGGGTCGTATTGTTGGATCATTGTGTGCCGTTTCCGGTCTATTACTTCTCGCTATGCCAATTGCTGTAATTGCCGGAAAATTTAATGACTTGTATGAGAAAAATGCAAACAGAGAGGATTTTAAAAAACTACACACTATTCAAAAGATGTGCAAGGTTCATCCTAGCAATACCATGACTTTGCAACAAAGTAAAAGTCTGAAAAATACGTCTAACCTAAATACCAAAGAACTTGAATCTAACAGTGATAACAAACTTTTTGAGATAGATATGTAAATATACATTGATACTTCCTGTAGACATGACATTATTGAAGAAAAATAGTCAGCTTAAAGGGGAACCAAACAGTTTTACTAAAATAGATTTGGCTCGTTTAATTTCATTAAATTTTGAAAAATATATTTACTTTGATCTGTTAAAATATATTTGCCTTCGGGTTTATATGATCCGTTCATCCTATTTCGACTCTTCAAAATTCAAGAGTCTATCCTAATTTGAGGTAAATTATATGGCCTTCCAAATACCGTTTCGATTCCTAACATCACTGAAGAGACATTAATTGTCGAAATCCGGATATGGTGTACACATTTTTGCACCCCATGTTTGCGGTATACCATCTTTTCCGCAAGTTTATTGTTTCCTGTTTGGTATTAAATTGATAATAAAGATCCATTTTGTGACATCTTGTGATCCGTTTATTTAGCAATCGCCAATGGCAGTCAGCAGGGTTTAAGAACATCCGTTGTTCGACCTGTTAGTCAAACGCGTTTTGTTAAAATATACTTTTTCACATTTTTGGTCTTTTGGAAAATGTTGTTTGTGCTGTATTTAGACCCATCTACCAAGAAATTTGTCCTGCATGCACACGTATAAAAATTGCGGTTTTTATCCAACGCAATCATAGGTTTGAACGTTGTTTTCAATTTAGACTCTAAATATCAGCACAACAATGTTAAATCTGCAAATTTGTGGAAGCAAATTTTAGTTCTTCCCTCGATATAGATTACATTTTATTTTTCAAAGGACAAAATAGTCGCATCGTGTTTCACTATATTTCTTTTTTATTGGTACAATTTTAAACACATTACTACATGATAGAGTTAGCCAGTTATTTTTTTATCATATTGATTAAATAATTACAAAAGGACATTTTCAACACATTTTATTTATTCATGATAAAAGTTTGGAATTCCACAAATATAATTCTTTTAGAACTATTATCATCTTAAAAAATTCATTAAAAAACAGGAAACATAGACATTAGTTTAAAAACGACGATTATTCCAATCCATAGGGGACACCTGTTTTCATTAATAATGAAATAACCTATTAACACTAAGTCATCGTAAATGAGAATATGCCTGGACAATATTATCACTTACTGATCCTACTTGCGACTGGTTACTGTAGCGTACTTTTGACATGTTTTACCTTGACGACAACTACACGACGGATATCTCATATGGAGTAGGATTTGCCTGCCATTCCGGAGCACATGAGATCACCCTGGTGTTTAGATGTGTCTTGTGTTGTATTGTTTGTTATTTGGTCTTCTAATATTTTTTTTTTGCCATGGCGTTGTCGACTCATGAGTTTAAATGTCCCTTCGGTATATTTCGCCTCTCGTTTACATGTGGTTTAGAATAATGAAGATGATTATAATTATATTATCAAAAGAAATATTCTTATAAATAGGATTATAACACATCTTTATCAAATTTCTCCCTCAAAAGAATAATAATTTTATTCTTTTTTTTCTCATTAGCTTAATCTATAAAATAACTTCCGGGATTTATGCAATACTGACATCGGGCGTTTATTCTACATCATGGATGACAGAAAAACGTGCATGTTTTGCACATTCAATTCTGTAGCATATATTCATATTTATAGATTCGAAAGGTACTAGCAATACAAAAAAGTTGTTGTTTTTAGTTTTCTTTTGTTCGAAAGTAGTCTATTGACATGAAAAATTAATAAAACGTCATTAAACAGTCTGACATAACATACAGGTACCTAATATATCAAGCTTTTAATTTATCAACAACCGGTCGGTCATCAACACCGATATAAAAATTCGGAGATGTGATATGATTGCCAATGAGACAACTATCCACCAAAGTTCAAATGAAGTGGATGAAAGCAATTATAGACAACCGTACGGCCTTCAACTATGAAAAAAACCCATACTGTAAAGTCGGCTATGAAAGGCCCCGACATGAAAAATATGAAACATTTCAAAAGAGAAAACTAACGGCCTAATTTATTAGAAAGCAAATGACGAAAACAAATATGACAGACAGGAACCAACAACAATCACATTATGAATGTGGCGGGGTTAAACATGTTTGAAGGCATCACACATTACCCCCCCCCCCCCCCTAAATGTACCGAGCAACAATATCTAAGGACGACCGATGACGAGTTTCTTTACAAGCACATGGAAATGTGGTGGAGTTTTGAGAACACATACCTGCAACGTTCATGTTCAACTTACAAAATAATAAAAGACACATAGATATATACATTAGTTCAAAAAAGCACTTAAATTTATACTTCTGGTGAAATAAAAATTACAGGTAGCGCTTATTCAACTTAATAATAATGCATCAAAGAATGTTTGGCAGTTACTGAAAGCTCGTTCAAAATACTTAACCTGTTGATATTGAAATTGGAATTAGAAAATTGAAAGAGCCTAACCCTTAAATAATATATTACCATTGACAACAACAGTATTTTAATAATAAACTTTAGCAACTAGTTATTTAAGTAAACTCATTATACACACCAAAATTCAAATTTTGTACACACAACGCGCGTTTCGTCTACAAAAGACTATCATTGATGCCCGAATCAAAAAGGTTACAAAGCCCAAATGAAATACGACATTGAAGAGCATTGCGGAACCGAAATTTCGAAAGGTTTTGTCAAATACAGCTAAAGTAATCTATTTCTAGGGTAGAAAATTCTTAGTTTATCCGAAAATTCTAAGTTTTGTTAATCTATAACTATGACCATATCGATCATCATTCGTGTCGTCACAAAATTTCTGCCTACTTTAAGGCCTAGAAGAAAGATTTGAAAGATGCTATTTAAATTATTTACTGTAGATGCTTGTCACATATTTCTAGCAAGATCTGGAGAGAAAAAGAATTGATTCTTGTCAATTTCAGATGACTTTAGAAAGATGCAGATTCACTCGTATGGTCTCTGGTTGGCAGTTGTCTAACTGGCAATCGTATCACATCTTTTTTTTTATTCAGAATTAAACTTTAATTATATCAATGTAACCTCTTTTCGACTATTATACGTGACTTTGTACTATATATCAAGCCTTTCATCGTATGCAGTAGTTTATTTATTTTTGTTATCATTTCACGACATAAGAACATGTGTATTGCTGATTGGTGAAGGCCGAAATGGTGACATGTTTTAATTCACATCGCTTTTCTATGGTCTTTTTGTAGATATCTTCTTATTGCCAATTATACTTTATATCCTCAGGTTTATATGTATTAGAAAAAAAAACCATTTGAAACCTACCAAATTATTTTAACAGCTTATAAGACAATATTGCATTTAAATGTGTATTATATTGATTTAAATGTTTTTGATCTGGAAAAAGCTGTAATTGACGTGCTATTTATATTTTTGAATCGTCATTGTATATAAAAACATGAAATTAATTTAGCTTGTAAAAGAGTTTTGTATTGACAATTTTGTTTTTAAATGTTTCTAAAATTCATTTATATGCGTACATTTGTACTAAGCAATACCATGGAGAAATATAAATACATCGTTTTACTTGATAAAACGATACGTAGCCAAACTACGTTATTAGTCTAAACTTACAAATATTTTGAGACTAAAAGTTTATGCGAAGATACACGATTTAAGATATAACTAAACTTTAATGTGAAGATACATTATTGGATATGAATGCTGGTGCGTTTTAAAATATAAAAGAAAACTTTAAAATGGTAATTGTTTATTGGTTTATATAAGAATTTCTGAAAACATTTTTTTTTTGTATTCGTTGGAAAATACAGAGTAAAAATAGGACATCTCGCATATTGTAAACTGTTTGAAATAAAATCATTTGTTTAATTATTTTTAAAATAAAGGAAGATAATGAGGCAATTTGCTTTCATATGTGACCGGGCATTAAATATGAATGTATTCATCAACGATTTGTACCACTATATGTAAAGTGATATCATATAATATATTAGTCAACAAAAGAAACGATACAAGGCAATGTATTTTCCATATATAAAATAAATTGGATACCTGGTACCAAGGTAAATAATTGCCCAATTGGTTTAATATTTACAAAGTGTTATTTTCCTATCAAAACTATTGATATAAGGCAAATACGCAATTTATTTTTGTTGCAATTTCAAAAATCGTATTTTCTCCCAAAAATTCAAAAATCGATATTAGAACTTAAAACTTTAAACTTAAACATGACATGATCTGCTTAAAATTCTAAATGCCTTTGTAGATATTTGAATACTTAATTCTCATCTTCGAAATCAAGTGCCGACTTTTGTCATCATTTTTCGCAAAATAAATTTGCCCCCTGTGTTCAATAACACGGTATTTTCCCACTTTCCAACTTGGTCAGATTCTTTAAATCATATACATTTGCTTTCCAAATGAATTTCTTTCATTGCATAATTTAACAGTTTTTCCTATTTATTATATTTTATGATAAATTGGAGTTCAAACTTGTGTGTCGTTACTTTTTTTGACTAGTATATATAGGAAATGAATGGATTGACAACAAACGTTAACGGATCAATGAAAAATTGCTTTAATACAGTGTACGAAATAGGAATGTTCATTGTTTATGATACTAGGTTAAGTCATTAAGTTTTAAAAGAGGATAAATGTAAGGAAATCTGTTTATTATTAGATATGAATAAGTAATTATCTACTGTCGGTTAACTCCCTTAGAATTTAAAGAACACAACGAAAGAGTTATCTTAAATATCTAATATCAGCAAGTTAATGAATCAACTGTCAATGTACAATTTGATAAAAACTTGACTCCGCTCTGATTTTGCCTTTAATTCTACACGAAAATGTCTTGATCTTTATATTTCTGCTGTCTAGGAAATCAGCAGACGATTGTCCCGTTTTTACTCCTGCTATAATGTGGTTTCAAGAGACAATCTTCGATCAATGTTACGCCTGTTTTGGGTTTTAACGTTATATGTAAATCATACATTACTGTAACAGTGGCATCCTCTTGAACATCGAAGTCACCGAGA